GAGATTTTATGTTCCTACTATTTTTTTATTTCAAAAAAAAAAAAAATTTTAATTTTTAATTTTTAATTTTTTAGAATTCCTAATATTGTAACATATTTTTTCTGTCAGTTTGTTTTTACACTATTATTTTTCAATAAATATTATTTTATTTTATCATAATTTAAAAATAGTGTATTGTTAACTAATACTATTGTGCATGCTGTGTTAGCCTATAAGTGATTATTATACTCGCACATGTGTTATATCTTTTATTAACAGTAATGAAAAAGTGTAATAATTGTTGGCTAACCTATTTAAATAAATAAATAAATAAATATAATTAGTAGAGGTTTCGACTATTCTCATTGGCAGGACAAAATTTTAGAATATTTTCTTATTTTTTATCATTTCATTCAGCAGACAATATTACAGAGCACCACATATTACAAGCATAAGGTACATAGGTACTGCATATACCTTAAGGGATTTCTTCCTGCAGACCTGCGACAGAAAAAGAAATACATACAATGAAGACAAAAGAAAAATAAATTAAAGAAAACTTAAAACTAATATGAACACATATCATTACATAACATCACGCCTTTTATCCCTGAAGGGGTACACAGTGGTGTACATTATACCATTGTTCAATGTAACACCCACTTTTCACTGTAATAGAGGGTGAGCCTATTGCCATATACCAGGCACAATTCATGACTCCGTGCTACTACTAAGAATTAAAAAAAACCAGTAATACTTTGCTCGACCCATGAATCGAACCCAAGACCCCTTAGCTTACTTAGTCGCACTTGCGACTATTCGGCCAACGAGGCAGTCAAAGGCAAAACTAATATGACCGTAGTGCTATTACTTAAACGTTGTCGAAAAATCGAAAGCCACAATAATGCTTTGTCCAATTCGAGAATCGTAGAGGCCCTTTACTGCACAGTCGCATTAACAATCACTTTCCACTCAAAATTCTTCCAAAAAGAATTTTCACAAAATTTACACATAGCAATGAACTCAATTGACCTCAGCGGCTAACGATACTTACTTCGTTACAATTAATTATATTCATCCTAAAATGACAAGTTAAGACCCTTGCTAGAGCCGTCAGTTAAAATCTAATTAAACTAACACGATCTATGGTCAGTACTTCAGTCGAGGATCATATTTCATTAAAAACGGGATCAAATGAAGTTGTGATGTATTAACTAAGCTGGGCTTATAATTTTGAAGTTGGTATGTGAAATATAATGTAGTGAATTATTTTTAGAATTCTGTTGTTAAGCGTGATGTTAATGAATTGGACAGGTACTTGGTCTAGGTAAAAGAATTGATATATTCCGTTCCATGACCTGGAATTCCGCTGAGTGTTAGGCCTCAGGGTTGTTTTCTATTATAACAACATATATTTTGTTATGAAAACGAATTTGGAAAGGCCGATTGATTTCCAGCTCGACTCGGGAGTCAAACTTAAACCCCTTACCTAACAATCGTTTTTGCAACCACTTGACCAACGAACACTTAAATCTAGTCAAGAAAAACTCAAAACAAAGTCTTTCACCCCGTTTATCTTAGATACTTCAGACAAGATAATTATTTTTATGGTAACATTATGAGACATACTAAATTATCCTCATGAGCAGCTTACTCGCAGCGACTGTGCACGCTGCTCATGAGTAAGAACCCCTCTGTGATTCAAAACTAGTAGAGCTCTTCTAAGTTTTCTCACGTGAGTAACCCGCGATTTTTTGTTAATAAAGATAATTATAACGTTGTCTATTCTTATATATATACATACATAACCTCACGCCAGTCTCCCATGGGAGTAGGCAGAGACCCTGGAATGCCAATTGCTACGATTCTTACATATCTCTTTTGCTTGCATATGCATGCTAAATGTACTTACATATGAACACATTCATATATATGTATGGATGTATACAATTTCCATTCCTACCTTTCATTCCCTATTACACGAAGATAAACAATTTCCTTTTTATTTTCCTGTCTTGCTGCCATTTTCCATCTTCCATACCGTATTCCCAGGTCCATGACAGAACTCACTTCCACAAAATCTTCAATGTAATTTATACCTTATTGTGAACAATAAATACGTATTATTTTACCGTGACAACGTAATCTTGTTGTTCATAATAGAAATATATGGTTCTTAGATTGAACGGACGTTAGGTTGAGTGCGTCGTTGATTCAGTGATAGTTATTGTTATGGTTAGTTTAGGAGTGCGAGTTCGATTTTTGTGCTGGTAAGTTTTAATTTTTAAAAAGTGTGATATGTACATGATGAGAAATAAGATAGTATGATTGTTTATTATTAAACGATGGACGTTGTCAGTAGTCCTGTATGTATATATATAATGTATGGATGTGTGTATGTTTATTCGCCATTATTTTACGATTGACTGAACCAATTTTGACGCAGTTTTACAATTTTGACATTTAGCAATAGGTTTAGTATATTAGTGATGTATATTAACTCGTCGAGTACTGTCATTATAGACACAATTAAAGAACTATAGGTTGCGGTCACCGGTGTCCTCGCGGTGTTTGACAGTTTAATTATGTCGGTTTAGGACATTGTTCTAAACTGACTCAAAAAAAGAGGTTCAAGTCCATTTTTTATTCGTAGTATATTATTACTCTGTGACTTTAGCGTCTGAAGATAGAACGTTGGAAAGTGAAATAAATCATACTTTTCCCTTTAGACATTCAAGTGAAGCCGCGTGCAACCGCTATTAATATCTAAATGATAAAGTTATACATAAATATACATGTATAATATATTTTTCCTCAAGTGTCACACTGACCTATTTTTTGTCAATACGCTATCGAAAATAACTTCCCACCTTACGTAGCAAGATGAAGTTCATATATTATACATAGCTTATACAATTATTTATGTATTTTTATCTTCCTCTATTTATGTGTACCTCAGGTATATAATTTTAAATATAGGTATTTAATTTTATCCTTTTTTATATGATTCATTTATTTATTTATTTATTTATAATATGGACAACCAGTAGTTGCTACATTAGGTCTTATATCTAAGCACTTACATTGTAATAAATTTTAAATGCACAACATTTTAAGGTGTCACAACATACACAGTAGTCTAACGATGGCACTTTTATCAGTATTTGTAATAATTGGAAAGTAAAATAAAAACTAAGAAATACTTAAAATTAAAAGATAAAATAAAATAAAAAACTAAAAAACTGAAATAAAAAATCTAAGTACATATTAAAAATCGGGAAATTATATGTGCGGCAACAAAAGTTTTCTTTAGCACCTGCAACCTAGCGTCTTTTTTTATATGTGAGCGACGAGTTAATAGAACAGCTTCAATTATATTAATTCATCATCTTTACTATTCCAACAAAATATCAAGAAACCAGCGTCAATTTACGAGCGTAAATTAATATGACTCCGAGCTACCGATAAATATATTTACTTCTGATTTGATAACTCAGCGACTAATGTTGACTGACTGCACAGCAATTTTGGGCACCCCGAAACATTTGGTTAGGTTAGGTTAGAACTGCGACCCTCACAAGGCGCGAGGCGAGCGAGCGTAGCGAGCGGTGCCGCGGTAGCGGCCGCCGAGCGTTATATCACTAACTGCTTTTTAAATCTTTTCATACCATTTAGCCGTTTATATTAAAAATATTAGTTTAAATGTTGCGTCATATTAACAGTAGCTTGTTTTACAATATATGGTCGCTTATAAACCATTTATTAGACGCTAAAAGTTTGTCGCTGACCTATTAATTCATTAGACAACTAAATATATTTGCAGACGAGAATGACATTTTAAAGAAGCTGCCTTAATTAGCACCCTTAAAAATCTACGTATTATGATAGTCTCGAACTATGATTTTCTCGTATGTCGTGGATGGACCACAAACGTAAACAAGACATAATAACAATATGGATTACACAAAGAATATGGGTATATTTAGATGTGAAATGTACAATATCAAACTTTGTTATTGATGAAAATTTTTAGAAAGTTAATATATTTATTTATTATTTACAACACAAAGAACAATACATGTATAAAAACAGAGTACATAGGCCCCACATATTCCAACTGAAATTTCTTCCTGTGGGCAGTGGCAGGAAAAGAAATAACAAAACCTAGATCACATAGTGTGTTAATAATACTTTCCCCGACCTGGAATCGAACCCCTTGCTCAAATGTCGACCATACGGTCAACCGAGTAGTTAGGTAGTTCTTTGCAGAGTCGACTTCTAAGCAAAAATCCCGAGATTGATTCTGACGTTAAGCAAAGTATTTGTACGGATTTTGGGACAGTGTAAAATTACAGAGCAGTTGCAATTACTGTTCTGATAGCTCTACATTTTTTCTGTATGAGAACTGTCATTAGATTAGAAGTCAGTTATAAACTTGTAATTATTTGATCAACTTCAAAACAACGATGTTTTAAAGCGAAAATTTATTACCAAAACATCGACCTTAGGGCAACGTTTTGTTTACAACCCTCACCCAATAAACTGTCACACAATACCGACACTTAATAGCTCCTATCAACGGACATCATAATTAAAGCAAATCGATTCTCGTGACCACAATATCAACTTAATTCACCGTTCAATCCCTATGGCCGATTAATTAAATCATACCAAACGCTTAAAATTACACCTACGGTATAAAATCGACGCAATTCACTACAGAGTGCGCGCGCAACCCTAACCATGAGATCTTACTTCGCCGGTAGTCGGCAGCCGGGCCGCGCGTTCCCATTTCTCACGTAAACGCACCACAAAATAAACAAAATACGATAGCCCTGGCTGTATGCAACTCCGCATAAATAAAACCTCATTCGAAACCAATTAAAAAAATAATCCCAATACGCTTTCGCGCCATAACGAACTGTCAAAGTGCATTCAAATAAGGAATTGATGGAATTGAAAGCAATAATATCGTGTTATTAGTTATTTAAATTACGAGTGTTAAATTGATAGATAACTCGTTTTTTAATCTGTGGTTCCGAGTTGTTGTTGTCGGTTTGAAGTTATGTGAGTATGTTTTAAAAGCAGTTTAGATAAGTACGGCTTACGTAAGGATAGCGTTGTTAAAAGTCTGTAGTAAAGTCCTTAGGGATAACCGTTGCAAAAACGGCTTTAGTAAAAATGGCTATAAGTTAAATTTATTGCCCTATTTTCTATGATTTAGTAATATTATTTTAAGCTACAAAATTGTTATTACAATTTTAGGATTTACCTATATAACTATTAAAAATGTTTAGAGTCAATAAAATTAACGGTTTCGTACCTAGGAACTAGAACTAACAACATTGACTATAATTGTACTATTAAAATGACATCAAGGAAATGACTAAGAAGACAAACTCATTAAGTTATATGACGATTAAAAAACAAAAGTTTTCTTGAAATAAACCATTAAAAACACAAACTCTCACGTAGCTAATTATTATTTTACCTACAACGCCGATTGTACAAAATTAAACAAAAGTGGCACCCAACGTGGGACCACTTTGAACAAGGTCTGCAATTAAAGTTAAATGATTTTAAATTGTTGTCATTGTAAGGACGTATGTGAATTGCTTTATTTGTTTTTATTTATGGTTTTGTTTATACAGGTAAAAGACTAAATCTTATAATTTAGAATAAAAAAAAGCAATCCAAGTGTTATGTTTGGGATACAAATACACTCTGTATAGGTATAGATCTCTCAGGTGAATGATTGAATAGCGGAAGATTAGTCCTGACGAAGCCACTTTAATTTCTAGTTCAGCCAAAATATCCCATTTCATTTTGATTAAATTCAAATTTATCAGTAACTAGCTTCTGCCCGCGACTTCGTGCTCACAATCCCGTTGTCTCCCGTTCCCATAAGATTTTCAGAGTTTTTTTCTATTATAAGAACCTTCTCCTAATAATAACGACTACAACAAAAAAAATAGCCAAATCGGTCCAGCCATTCTCCAGTTATGGCGTGCCAACGGGAAACAGGTTTCATTTTTATATTAGTAATAAACACATACCATGTTTATATTTTCACTCATAATTTCAACTGGTAACACCATAATTCACTATTTCACAAGAAATAATTACTTCAAACGTGATAATTATGTGTATGTCCCTACATAATTGCCTTCAATCTACCATTAATAATAATTGATTGACATTTTTATTAACTGGTTTGAAAAAGGAGGCGTTAGTTTTGATAATTAATTCTTACTAATATTATAAATCGGAAAGTGAGTTTGTTTGTTTGTTCCACTTTCAAGCCGTAACTACTAAATCGATTGCTTTGAATTTTTGCAGAAGTAAAGTTAGAAGTCTGGATTAAATAATAGGGTACTTTTTATCCCGGAAAATTTTGATATTCTCGAGGGAAAACGAAATTATTGGCATTTTTTTTTTTTTTAAGGGGGAAAATCATCGAATGACTGCTCCCGCCTGGGTGAGGCGGGAGGGAGTGTCAGACTCTTACTGACTAAAAACCACCCCGTTCCTTCTCCTGCACGTCGAGCCGGAGCCCCGGTTACCCGTTAGGTTCTCCGCGACTCCGAATCGGCATCGGCCCTATTGGGCCCCATCTGTGGTGGTCTGATGGCTCTTTGAGGCGCGCGCGGAACGCGACGCGCCGTACGCTCGGGTCTGTTTCTGGTCGGACGGGGAGCCACCCATGCTCGCCGTCCGCAGGCCCGCGCTTACGGTGGCCGGAGATCGTCCCGCGATCCCCGACGCCCGGTGTGTCCTTCGCGATGGCTGGGTTGCGAGGAGGCAGCGCTTCGCTGCCTCACGCGTCCCGCCTCCTCCTTAGCTAGCATGACTGCTTCGCAAAAGGAGGAGACGGCATCCCAATCCCCCTCGCTCCGCATCATGGCCAAATTATTGGTATAGATGGCGCTGTGTGTATTGGTATATGTCACGTAGGCTACTTTTTATCCTTTTGTGACGCGAGCGAAGCTGCGGGTAAAAGCTAGTAAGTAGTAATTTAAGGACTGTCGCGTGAGAAGAATGCTTGTAAGGTTAACGAGCAAAGAACAAGTTCAATTTCGGGTCAAATAAAGTACATTTGATTTAATTTATAGCTTTATAATTCTCAGTCATAGCAGGACCAAGATAGTTTTGGAATTGAACTTCGTACTTCTTGCTTAATATTTGCGATTATAAACACTCGAGTTGCGAGGCACTAATCTATCACAATAACTCAAACCAACATATTAATATCTAAATAATGAAGTCTCACACATAATTACATTCAACACACATGAATACATTCAGTACATTCATAATATACATCTATTAAATTATCATACATTCATAAAATCATCATAAATGCATAATTTATGTCAAATATGTACGTTAAAATATTCATTTCATTCTATTTTGTTCAATTCATGCGTGAATGATTCGATACTTAGGGTAAGGTACGTTGACATCGCAGCTTAGGTACCTATACGAAATAATGTACTAAAAATTTTGATATTATCACATTACATACATAAGACGAGTTTATCATCATCAATAGCCTTATAAGTGGCCATTGTTGATCAAAGGCTTTTTCTCGCACGGAGAAGGTTTGAGCATCAATCACCACACTTGCTCAATGCGTTTTGGCGATTTCAAACGATGTTTTCTGTTACTGGTTGTCAGTATAATTGTAATGGTCACCAATCGCCCGAATAGACGCCAATTTTTTTTATGATATAAGCGGTTAAACGAGCAGACGGGCCACCTGATGGTGAACATTCGGCGTCCATGTCCACTCGGAACACCAAGTGCGTTACCGGACTTTTGGGGATAAGGAATTTGAGGATCGCTGGGAAATCAGGGATTGGGGTAATTGGCCCTCTTCTGGTAACCTCGCTCCAATGACGAAACACACCGCAAGCTTCGTTTTACGTTGGTTTTCAGTGAGGCCGTGGTATCACTCCGGTCGAGCCTCTCCCACAGTTAAATTACCTAAGTATAGTGTATATGAGTGTAATATATAGTACCAGGTTATAACCTAGTCGTAGTTGTGTCGTTTCCTAGAACTACGATCTTCTCATATATGTTAATCAAAGTACGAAGATATGTACCTGTTTAGCCTAAGAGCCTGTTTGCCTGTTCGTCAGCCTTAATTATTGACGAGCAATTAATTTAACTAGAATTTACATGTCTTTGATTAAAGATTAATTAGAACTTGGATTATTGTGGATTTATAGAGTACCTACGGATGTGACTTGTGTTCCTGACAAAATATTGGACAGCATCGATCCGGCAAAGTGTGAACAGACCTTTCGGGCTCTTTTAGCGTTGGAACGCGGTTTATTGAAAAATTCTGAACAGTTTGGTAATATTATTATTTTGTACTTATTTTTTACGACGTCCCATCGTCAAGCGAATGGTAAAATTTTAGACTCAAAGGAAATTCTTTGCATGGACTAACGTTTAGGACAAGGAAAACCAACTCGTGATGGAATGTTTTCATTACCTTTTTTTAGAAGTTGGTGAAGTTGAGGTTCCTGGATATGAAGGGAATATTAAATTTTGTAGTGTCTTTTTTAGCTTGTTATGTTTCAGACAGTATAAGAGATACGATATTGATTGCAAAATGCAATGTTTATAGTAATTTATTATAAACATTTGTTTGTTTAATCTTAGATCAGATAATTTAATAATATGTTCAGTGAAATTGGTAGTGTTACTAACACAACCTAACGATTAAGTTATTAGTATCATAACTGAATTTGATAGAAATATAATTAAATTGACTAATAATAACGGTGTATTCACGTAAATATAAATAAATATAGGAATAGGTAACGCGAAGTCGCCGTGTCCGCGAACGCTGCTCATGAGGAAGCGTCCCTCTGCGACTTGAAACTAGTAGAGCTTTACTCAGTATATATAAATATACGAACGAAAAATAACGGATAACTCACGTGAGTGATCATTCTTACGATAATTATTATAATACTAGCTACTTCCGCGCGGTTTCAAACGCTCTGCTCAGCTCCTATTGGTTGTAGCGTGATGTTTTATAGTCTATAGCCATCCTCAATAAATGCGCTATCCAACACAAAAAGAATTATTCAAATCAGACTTGTAGTTACGGAGATTAGCGTGATCAAACAAATAAACAAAAAAAAACAAACTCTTCCGCTTTATAGAGGTATAATAGTATATAATAGTATAAGATAGTACTTAAGTTCTCCGTAATATTATTTAAAACACGTGGGACCAATAGCAATTAACAGGCAAAAACTACAATGTTCCATTTTCACTACATCAAAAAAAAAACTTCCTCGATATATTTCATTGAACTTCATGCCAATACAGGAAAACAGAATCCATGAACGAACCAAGTATATATAGCCTTTAATTTTGATAAAGGACGAGCGTACTCTAAAATTGTCTATTCCATTCACGCTGCCGTAAAAATAGCCGCCAATTGAGGGTAAAATACCTAAACATTCCGAAGCTATGGGTACAACTCTCCAAGGGTTAGGTTGGGTTTACCTATATATGTATATTGTATATTTAAACAACATATCGACACTAATCCTAACACGTATCGCTGGTATATAAAGTGGAAGTGTATGTTACAAATTTTCGTTTGTGATTTTTCTCGTGTGAATGGACTTGTGACAATAAAAAACTTTTTAAAGTGTATAATTTTATATTAAAGAAGGGCCAAATTAAAAGTACATGCACGAAAAGGCTGATGACTGTTGATGAAGCGAAAGAGGTATGTTGGAATCGTAGCAATAGCCGTCCCATAGTCTCTGCCCACCCCATGGGAGACAGGCGTGAGATTATATATGTATATATGTATGTTATGATAAGATATTCTTTCCTTTAGTCTATCTAGGTAACCTATATTTAACATGTTGAGAAATAACTATTTTTAAGTCTCATTCATCTTGGAGAAAATCTAAACAACGGCTTTATTTTTAGCTCACCTGCTCACACTGCCCCCACTCGCTTTGAATGAAGTTAAAATTGATTGAACGAGAATGAATGAATGAATGGTTGAAGGTGAATGATTCGTTTCAAAG